TTTTCTCTCGCTTCGTCCGCCATTACTAGCTTAAAAAAAATCTCCGGTCGGGCCGCAATGCATTATGGGATATGCTGGGCTGGGAAGGATCCATCGGACCTGTCCTTCGATTCGGGGAAAAAGAAGGACGTATTTGTCGGACGCATCGGAGGAGTCTTCCGTTTTGGACGTCCTTCGTCGCGGTGCTGTGACGTATGCAGCCGACAAATTCGACCTTCGGAGGACCCGTCTTGCCGTTTTGGACACAGCTTTAATAGCCTCTACCTCAAGAGGTAGAGGAGCCAAATGGCTGGCTCACTGCTGCCAACTAGAGGCCAGAGGCTGAACTACAACATAAAATGAACGGCTGGCAGGAAAGTTGACATTTTAAACCTTAATAAAAAAATAGATACAGGGCTTTAGAATATCAATACAGTATCAGGAAATGAAATATCACAATGTTTCAATGTATCCATATTTTCTTACACCCCTAATCTACATATGAAAGAATTTCCAGGGAAAGCATTTTTTCCCCTCTTGTTTTGGTCAGGTGGAGACATACGGCTCCATGGAGAAAAAGGAGAAGGTGGAGTTTATCTTGGAACAGATGAGGCTTTGCATCGCTGTCAAGGATTACATTCGCACTCAGATCATCAGCAAGAAGATAAACACCAAATTCTTCCAAGAAGAGGGCACTGAGGTAAGGAAGCAGGAACTAGCCATGAAAAAAAATGTGTGGGGATCAGATGTTCTTTTGGATTTAAAAGTATTAGTTAACTATCCTACACATTTCATCTTCACCTGAAACTATGCGAAAGTTGTTGCATGAAACTGAGTACTAATAATTTTCTCATTGACGCAGGAGTTGAAGTTGAAGTATTACAACCTCATGATTCAGGTGGACCAACATGAGGGCTCCTACCTGTCCATATGCAAGCACTACAGGGCGATCTATGACACCCCCTGCATCTTGGAGGACAGCAGCAAGTGGCAGCAGGTAGTTTTGATGATAAAATGTTGAGTTTATTTGTAGCTATTGTGGCCTTTTCACTGCACAAACAAACATACAGCGGGTAAAATAAGTATTGAACACGTCACCATTTTTCTCAGTAAATATATTACTAGAGGTGCTAATGACATGAAATTTTCACCAGWTGTTGGTAACAACCCAAGTGATCCATACATACAAAGAAATCAAACCATAKATGTCCAGAAATGAAGTTATTTGTAATAATGTGGAATGGCACAGGGAAAAAGTATTGAACACACTTACTGAAATTTATCTAATACTTTGTACAAAAGCCTTTGTTGTCAATGACAGCTTCAAGACGCCTCCTGMWTCTTGTGTGATACCTGGTCATCATTTGGGACGGAACCAGCTGATGTTAACTTGCACTGACAAGGGGCAGGCTTGCTTTCTAATTACTGAGAGAGTTCAGCTGGTGTCTTAGCTTTCCATGCCTTTTTACACCTCCCTTTCTTCATGTGTTCAATACTTTTTCCCTGTGCCATTCCACATTATTACAAATAACTTCATTTCTGGACATTTATGGTTTGATTTCTTTGTATGTAAGGATCACTTGGGTTGTTACCAACATCTGGTGAAAATTTCATGTCATTAGCACCTCTAGTAATATATTTACTGAGAAAAATGTTGACGTGTTCAATACTTATTTTACCCTCAGAAAATTTTAAGCGTTTTTGGAAAGTCTTGAAAAGTTTACATCTAAAATTAAAATATACTTATTCTTGTTTTAAATTCTTCTTCCATATGAAGGGATTTGTACAATTTGATCAACCTTACTTTTAGTGGGGAGTGTTTTTTTGTAATAAATCAATTGTAAAATCTTGATCATAGTGCAGGAGTCTTTAAATCTTTACTAAAACAGCACTTTTTCTGAAAACGGTTACATTAAACCATCATAGTTGTAGTGTTTCTGCGTATTTCATAATGCAAATTGTTTTTGTTTTTAGGCCCTGAAGAGTGTGGTGCTGTATGTGATTTTGTCTCCTTACGACAACGAGCAGTCAGACCTCGTGCACAGAATCAGTGATGACAAGAAACTGGAAGAAATCCCTAAATACAAGTAAAATAAACTTTCTGTTGTTTCACGTTTTGATTCTACCTTTTAATACAGTAAATAAAGTATACACCAATTTATTTAAATGGAAAAAATGCAGTGTAATACACTGTTTGAACATTTATCTAAAGCAGAGGTTGTCAACGATGGGGGCTGCGAAATAAAAAAAAATCAATACTATTTTTTTTCTTTTGAAGTTACGTCATTAAACACACATTTACCATGAATCCAACATGTAGAAAATTGATAAAGTGAGGCGTAAAATAATGTATTTCAGTTCAGAAATGCACACATTCGGTGCGAACGCCAGCTGAATTCTGCGTCCCTCACAGCCTGACTCCATGAATTCTGCACACAACCTGTAACACTGCACATTTGCAACACTTCTGCAACACAACACAATCTGACACTACACACAATCACAATATCTGATCTAAAGACTTATCCCAAACTATAAAATCTCTGTTGATTTTGGTGCACATTAGTGGGTGTTTTTGTTCAGTATAAAATAGGGCTGTAAATCAGCAGCTTTATCACAATACAGTAATACATCGAAATGTTTGGATGACGATTTGATATTTCTCTATCGCAGTCTGTCACGATATGATTTCAGTTCAATTCACATGTCTGCGATCAATATAATGCAATACCATATGCCCATCTAACACAATGACTGTGTTGGGCATATGATATTGATTCCCATTAAGCATATGATGATATAGATCGATATTTTCATTTTGCCTCAATATAAGTGAATCATGAACCATTCAAATCGATATATCGATATAGATTGATGTATTGTTACAACCCCTTGTCTGAAAGCACTGAGGATCTTCTGTCTTTTTTCTTTAAGGGACCTTCTAAAGCAGTTCACTACTATGGAGTTGATGCGTTGGGCCTCCTTAGTGGAGGATTATGGGAAGGAGCTGAGAGAGGGCTCACCTGACAGCCCAACGACAGATGTCTTCTCTTATTCAGAGGAGGGAGAGAAAAGATGGAAAGACCTCAAAAACAGAGTGGTGGAGCATGTAAGTCCCATGAAAGAGCACAGAAAGTACAGTTAAAGTATGGTAATGTTTTTTTAAGTTCTGATATTAAAAGCTTCCCATTCTGTCTACAGAACAGTTTAAATATACTTCTGTGTTTACATTAATATTAACGAGGTTCTAATTTGTTCTCCAGAACATCCGAATAATGGCCAAGTACTATACCAGAATCACAGTGAAAAGGATGGCTCAACTTCTTGACCTCTCTGTTGACGTAAGCAAATATTTTCCCAGTTTGTGACACACACACACACACACACACCCTTATACTAGCATCAAACTGTGGACTTTGTATTGACTTCCATTCATTTTTGTAACTGTATTTATGCCTAACCCAGATATTTTCCCTAAAATTAACCATTACTGGTCTATAATTAACCATAACTTAATTCACACCGTACCTCTAAACCTAACCAGTAAAGCACAGCAGAGCTGCAAACAAAGTGAGAACATTGAAGAAGTCCTCACTTTACATCAAAGACCACACTTTTATAGTAATTATGGCATGAATGGTCCTCACTCTGTAGCAAAAACAAGTCACACAAGTTGCATTTGAGCTCACAAGAAGCCCTGAAATATAATTTGTCTACCCATATGTCTTGGCAGGAATCTGAAGAGTTTCTTTCCAGCCTGGTTGTGAACAAAACCATTTATGCGAAGGTTGACCGACTCGCCGGCATCATCAACTTTCAGCGGCCCAAAGACCCCAACGACCTGCTCAACGACTGGTCGCACAAACTCAACTCTCTCATGTCTCTGGTGAACAAGACCACACACCTTATTGCCAAGGAGGAGATGATCCACAACCTGCAGTGACATAAGAACAGTGTATTATTTTATATTTTGTTTCATACTTTTGTTTTTGTGAATGGGAGTGTAGGTGACTGTTTTTGAATATATGGTTTGTTAGCAAAATATTGCTGTGGCTCAGTTGCAATGTCATATAAGGAGAAATCAAATGTTCAAAATATTCATGCCCCTACTAGATTGTTCCTTTTTTATTGTTCAGTAAAACATTGACAATAAACATATGAGGACTTCCTCCGTTTGTATCTCTCTCTGTTTGATGCAAGTTCATTTTTACAAATGTTACTGTTGCACTGCAAACTTTAGCCAATTAAAACAAGTTAAAATACTGGATTTAAGTCGGAACCTTTTCAAATTAAGTGGAATAATCTGACAGTGCTCTAAAACTGCTCCACTTGTTGAAATATAAAAAAAAAAAATATTCCAGGCTAACAAGTAATCTAATACAGAGGTTCCCAAACTTTTCCATACTATGGCCCCCAAAACAGCATTAGCATCTGACCAGGAACCCCTTTGTAAACCTATAAACAATGCTACAAAATATGTAATGAAAAGTCAACTTTTAGACTTTCTTTTGCACTTTCACTATTTGATAAATTTTATATTTAGCATAATAATCTTATTAAGTATAATGCTTTAAAACACTATTCACCGAAAAAATAACTTCAGCAAACTTGAAAATAAGAACAGAACAACAACCTTTTTTCCCCCTTCCCTCCATCTTCCTGAAGCCCCCTCAAAACAAAATATTTTTTGATTGGATATAAAATTTGTAAAGCTTGATTAGACGGACATTTTTTGCAGTATGTTGTGAAATATGCTTTAGTTTAGCATGGAATGATTTATAAAATACGTGGCGGGAAACAATTTTCAGATTAATATTCTGAAGATGTCACTATCTGTCACTTCATTTGACTTAATGTAGATTTTGATCAGTTAAGCCATTCAAAAAGAAAAAAAAATTAAAACAGTAAAAACATTAAAAAATAGTAGAATGTAAATTATGTGCAAAAATATATTATTAGTTGGAACTAAGTTGGAAAAATAAATATGAAGGTCAATTAAATTATAAAACACGAGATAAAGCTCTCCTTTTTTATTTAATTGGCACATTTTTAATTTAATTTATTTATTGGTCCATTTATATATTTCTGCTTTTTTTCTAGTTATGTCAGTGTCGGTCCTCCATACAGCAGAACTTGGATGAGGTAATTTGATGTCTGAATCAGGTGTGTTGGAGCAGGGAAAAACATAAAACCTGTAGGGCTGCGGCCCTCAAAGACCAGGATTGCCCACCCCTGAACTATAGTACATGAATTTTACACAGTAGAGAAAATATAAAACTAATAAACCCATGTGACCCAGTTTAATACAGCAAACAAACGAGTCATCATTGACGTTTTAGTTTAATGTTGGTTTACCTTCTCAAATAACAAATTCACTTTACTCCAGTAGCTTCGTCGGTGTACTTTGGTCTCTTAGTCCATCTGAAGATGTCTATCCATTATTTCTTTTACCCATTTCTCAGTGTAGGGTCACGGGTGTAATGATCATCATGTGAGACGAGAGGCCGGGTACATTTGGACGGTTCACCAGTCCATCCCATGGGCCACAAAAAGATAAGACAGGCAACCTCTCACCTTCACTCAGTGATAATTTACAGTTTTCTTATACGGTTAGCACTAAAAAAAACTGAAGAGGGGTCACCCAGTTTTAGCACATACTGTATGCAGTTTAGTATTTATGACCTAATCTATATTTCAAATTTATTTTGTGTGTTCTTCTGCACTTTGTACTCCACTAATGTTTCACGGCTTCAACCAGTGGTGGGCAGCGCTAATCCAAAAATTTGTTCCACTAGCCCTAAAACACTAATTCAAATATTTAGGTCCCCTAACTCTAAAGCACTAATTCACTGAAAGTTTTAGCAAAAGCTTATTCTAAAGCACTAAAATTACCCAGTCAACCCATGAACACTATTCAACAGACAACATGAGTCACACATTGCCATGTTAGTACTTATCATTGACATTCCACAGCTGGAATTGGGTTCATATATTGCTAATACAGTATACGTCACCTAAAGCAGTGTTTCCCAAAGTTGGGGTCGGGACCCAAAGTGGGGTCCTGAAACATCAAGGTGGGGTCCTGAAAAGATTTTCTAAATTAATTACATTTTTTGCCTTAGTTGTTACAAATGAGTGAGGTTAGTATATTTAAAATGGATAAATGTAGTATAAAAATATTATTACTATGTCCATGTTTAGTTGACCTGATACAAATGTTTATCATCCAAAAATAGTTGGGGGCACAAGTCTCTGCTACTGTTATTTTGTGGGTCAAAAGCTGAAAGGTTTGGGAACCACTGCACTTTGGTTCCCAAAGTTGGGCTTGGGACCCAATTATGAGTCATGAAGCACCTTGGATAATCTCCAGAAATCAATTTAAAGGGTAATAAAATAATTGCTGATGTAATATTTCCCCTATAATTATTACAAAAGCACAAAATAAGAAAAAAATAAGTATTTATATTTGTGTATAAGCTGTTTATATTGTCAAAAAGCCTGTGTTTTTAGGGTTATTAACAAAGTTCGTGTACTCAGACCAGTAATATTTGGGGTCACAAGTTTTTTGCCATGGATATTTTGTGGGTCAGAAGATAAAAAGTTTGGGAATCACTGAGCTAGAGGATAAGTGACACTATGAACAAAATGTGTGACAGCTTTCACCCTCAGCTGTTAACATTAACGTTGATCAATAACATTTATAGACCTCAGTCAGTGCCTCTAAATTTAACCTATATATTTAGCAAGTGTCAATCCACTAATACATTTTAAAATGAGCAAAAGCCCTAAAGCACTAATCAGAAAATTAGTTCCCCTATTAGTGCTTTAGGAGAACTGTGCCCACCATGACAAAAACAATGCATATAGTGGAGTTGATTTTAGATATCTTGCCTGGATAAATTCCACATATATTTATTTTCAATGTTTGTGAATTGTGATTGTTTTTTTTTATGAAAAATGTATTTATTTATTTGATTTTCCACTGTGTGCAAAATTCTAAATTTTGGAGTAGTAAATTATTCTTCCCATTAGTAATCTCAGATACTGTAGTGTATAAAATGAAAATATGTAAACATAAACCTTAAAATACAGGTTGACAGATTGACATTAGTGATGAAATATATGATGAAAAATACAGGTTTAGAAGTGGGCATATAAAACAATATAAATGTAACTCTTTGAGCACTTTTTGCAGTGTTTTTTTCTCATTTCATGCAGAACTTTTACTTTTACTCGCAACAACAACGTTGTACTTTTTTTACAACACAAAATCAGAGTACTTCTGCCAGCAGGCAACGTGACAAAAAACAAAACAAAACAAAAAAAAACCCCACCATGACTTGTCAGACACTTTCTGACATGAATAATTGTCGTCCTCTTTTTGCGAGCACGTAAACAAAGAGGCACGCGCACACGCACGCACACAAGTCCTCGCAACCTTCAGCTCGGCACATCCCACTATGCTTTGCGTTGGTCTGACAAGTGGATCCAAGATGGCGTAGAAAGTAAAGCTAGGTAAGTGTTGACTTCCCATTTTTAGCCCCTTTGCTCGCCTTTTCTGTCGCGGGGCCGCTGACGGAGATCCCCTCCACGAGTTATTTGAACATTAGCGAATGCTTTGAGCTCGTGCACGGACAACAACCAGGTGTCAGGTGAATTACGCGCGCTTTAAACGCCGTGGCGAAAATTTCAGGGCCCGTTGTGTTTCGGAGAACCCAAAGCTAGCTTAGCCTGCTAACGCGAAGGAACCAGCCAAGCTATTCTTGTTGTGAGCTGACCACTTCGCTGCCAAGAATGGCCGTGTTTTTTTGGCTGCCGTGCGAAACGCTAGCTACGCGCACACTTAGTGGCAACATTAACTAATGCAAACAAGTTAGGTAAGTTAACAAACAACTGTGTGGGGGGACGTTTTTTCAGAGAGCTTTTAAACGCTGCCGTCATCGCTCTCTCTCTCTGCAGCACTCAGTTCTTGATAAGTTTGCCTGACAAACAAAACATACAAGTATCCAGTGGGGCGAAAGAAAAGTCATCGCTGTAGTCCGTGTTTGGATGTTTATGCTCCTTTTATTTCTACTTTGGTAAATCTGCATATTATTGTTTCCTCTGCACACAACGATGCTGTCAACCTATCTCTCTCAGCCTGAAGTTGATGCCTTTTTTTAAACCGCCTTCAGTCATAACGTCTGCTCTCTCATCCACTAAACAGTTCATAAATGAGGCACCCCTGTTTGATCACGTGCTACAAAAAGAGGAAGGTACCCACCTACATCTTAACTGTTTGTTTTTTACCACTATATATGCCATTACAGACTACAGGCACAAATTGTTCAATGTAGGGCTTTAAAGGTTATAAAATGACCTTTTAGTAAAAAGTGGGATTGAGCTAATATCACTTCTATAACAGTTTTACCATGAGTACTGTGTTCCCTTTTACAAAAACAAGTCTTGTCTCCTGATTAAATCAACTTTCATATAGCTGACCTGTGCCAAAGATGGTTAAAAGACACTTATAATATTCCAGGATGTTGTTTGTGCTTGTGTGACAATTTAACATGTGTTTGAGTTGACAGCCATCTTTAGACTGAATGACTTTAATCAGTCTTTTGGTAAAGCGTTCTAGTTTCTAAAGATTTTCACTTGCCACAGTGCACAAGCAGCATTTCCAGCTGTGGGACTAGTAAGGTGGAAGTGTGACCAGAAACGTATTAGGCTACTGGCCAAGGTTGAGTCTTTGTGGATATGATGCTCTCCATTAGGTCACTGTGTACCCTAAACTGTTTTTGTGTGAAGGAGGCCTCACTGCATTATGTAATCGCAGACTGTAGTCCACATTCAAACCCTTTTTAATCTGCCACTGTTTATTCATTTTTATTTTTAATTTAATGATTTTGTTCTTTGGCTGACAAAATCTCTGTTGTTTTCTTTTATGTAAGAGTGCTAATTGCAATAGAAAATGTTCCCATTACACCACCATTGTCTTTGTTTAAACACATTTATGCTGACCAGAGGCAGCATAAATCCATATTAATACAAGGGTGACCTTGCCGTTAATGTATAGGCAAACATATTTCAACATGCCACACCTGAATTGTGAACTTCATCTTTAGTCCGTTACATTACATTTTGAATCACTATTTATGAAAGTAAACATACAGACATTATCTGTGACCTACAGCTAAAACGTTTGGTTTTATTTCTGAAATTCATCTTTACAAATGGATGAAACATTTCTAAATCAGCTGATTAAATTGTCTTAAAGTTTGACAAGTATACAATTTTTTATAGAGGGAATATTATATAAAACACAAACATTATTTTATCTATGCCTGCTGTTTAATAAAAAGGTCTCAATGGACACTATGCTGTTTCTGAATAAGTGAAAAGTGTGTACACACATATTAGTTGTACCATCTAAAGTTTACAGACAGATCAAATGGCAATGTCTTCTTCCAAAAAGTTCTGATTGGATGTTTACTCAACTTATCCCATCTTTCTATATAGTAAAGTTACCGTGGATCAAATAGTCTTTCTAAGATAAATGTTTTTGTCTTGTCTGTTAACAAAAATGTCAAAACTTGTCATGGTTTAGACCATAGTTTTTATTTAGTAATCATCTTGTATTTATCTGGGAAATGGATGTGGAGTAAAACTGTGATGAAAACTATTCATCAAGAAAATTACCTCAGGCTCTTGTCATTCTGTTTTTTTTTTTTTTTTTTTTAAAATAGGGGGAAAAAACACAACAGAACAAAAAACAATTTTATGGACATCCATCTCTGAGGCTGTTGTGTTTGCATTTTAAGAATTCTATCATCTGCTTTAAATATAGATATTGTGTCCTCCTTTGTTGATATTAATTATTACCAATGTCATTTTTAGGATTGATTCAAGGTTGTGTCATTTAACATGAAAGCAATGTCAAAATTTAAAGTAAAAGCAGCACGACGACTCACGGCAAGAAGGCCATGGGTTCGATCCCCGGTTTGGACTTTGGGTCTTTTGTGCGTACTTTGCATGTTTTTTTTCGTGCTTGTGTGGGTTTTCTCTGGGGTACTTCCCCCACACCACAAAATATGTACAATAGGTTGCCTTCAGACTCCCTTTAAAAAAGATAGATCTGCCATCTCAATAGGATTTTCCTTGTTAAACAATGGTAAAAAATGAAATAAAACAATTTACAAGGAAGAATAGTATGTGTATAGATGTCTAAATGTAGATGCAATGTATTTTTCACTTTGGTAGGTAGACTACAGAAGCACTTTATAACATGGCAGTGACCAGAACAATACCACCATCACTTGTTGTTGTCCAGAGTACTCAGTCATTTGTTTCTGAGATCTACAGTATTTTATTTTGAAAGTTCACAACATGCAAGCAAACCAGAGTCCATTTTTTCCCCTCATATTTGTGTTTTTTTCCTGCCATTCAACCATTTCTCCAGTAAACCTCGCATCTCTGTAGACTCAGACTTCATCATTAACTACAGTCAGTGATGGTCATCACTGTGCCTCTCTTAGGAAAATCTGTTGCAATCAGTGGAGACCCAGCGGAAGTAGAGCAAGTATAGTAATAGTATAAAGCTTATCTGTAATAAGATAGCAGTTTGTGTGCAGCTGCAGCCTACGATTCTCTGCAAGACTCGAGACGAATGTATTCCTGAGGTATTTATCTGGCAGAAAGTTCTCAGCTGTTTAATTTTTTTGCAGCATAGAATCTAAAGTAGGGCACTATCATCTCAGCTTCTAAATGACCAACAGTAAATGTCTTCTTGGCTGGATGCCTGTGCTTTGGCAATTATAATGGAGCTGGTTTAAAGTTAGACACAGTGTCCAAACCAGCAAAGGAACCACAATGCTGTGAAAAAAAAAAAAAAAAAAACAGGTATTTTTCTCTTTTAACCTTAACCCTACAAAGTATAAACAAAATAGTAAACTTAACCTGATTTGGTAAGGACTAGTGTTAACTTACTTAAAATAAATTGAATTATTTATTCTAGAAATAAAATATAATCCCATGTGTCCATTAGATCCTGATGTGGAGATCAGCATTTTTTCATTGCTATCTGCAACCTCACACTCCTCCTCCTTACTGAAGCAAGACTTGTGAATACTATTTGTTTGTGTTTTATATAACTTTTAAAATTTTGTTTATAGTGGCTTTTAGTTTATTTAAAAAAGTGTTAAAAAGAGAACATTTATTAAATTCAGTGAGCAACAGGAGCAATCCTTAAAATAGTACAACACCGATGCTGGAAGTTAATAGCATCAATTTTTACCTGATAAAGAAAGCAAATCTGTCCAGTGACTGTATCAAAGCATATGTATTTTTTATGCAGTCATAGCCTGAAATTGTGTTACTCACACACTCCACCATGTATTAATTGAGCTGGACTCTTAAAGATATCTTCAACTCAGAGTTTGTGTCAACAGTTCTAAAGACAGTCTCTATTAGATAATGAAACGTGTAAAGAAAACCCTTTAACTGACCCTCTGTACTTTCACAGAGTGAGTACAGAGTACAGGGTTAGTTTCTTCATTTGTGAAGATAAAGAGAACAAACTATTAAACAGCCACTGCAAGTTACAAAGCAGCAAACTACCAAACTATATGAAAGATATCTTTCTATATATCTTCATGTATGTCTGGATCCTGCTAGCACTTTCTCAGATGTTTTTTTTTATTTATTTATTTAAATTCATGGATTTTTGAACTCTAATGTTACTGGTACCTTCTTACTTTTTCACTCTTTCAATTAAACATACTTAAATAGCTTCAAAACTTCAAAAACACAAATACAAATGATGATTGAAAGTGTTGAGATAGAACAAAATAAATTAAATTTCTGGGTGTATTTGGATCATAAAGTCTGATGGAAACCACAAATTATTCAAATAAGAAGAAAACTGGCAAAATTTTGTGCTATACTTGGGAAAGCTCAACACATACTGGACCATAAAGCGTTGTTGATTCTGTTGATTCATCACTTGGACAATATCTGTCTTATGGTGCGTTCACACCGAACGCGATTTCAGCGTCAGGAACAGCAGGTTTACATACAAAGTCTATGGTGGAGGCGCTTCAAGCAACGTCGGGAAGTTCTGCGGCGCCTCAAGCGAGATTAGAGCAGCGCGATTTGGACGATTTGGACGATCTGAGCGTRSYACGCTCAGATCGTCCAAATCGTCCAAATCGCTGAAGTTAGAAAATCAGAACTTTTGCAGCTCGACGCGCAGCGTCAACCAATCAGAGAGACTCCACTGTGTGACGTAGCGACATATTTCCCGACGGGACAGTTTACTGAATGATGTCCACTAACCTGAAACAGACAGAGCTCCTGCTCTTTAGCTGAAATGAGTGCTGCAGTCGTGTCCTGATCCGCAGCAATGCGTGGCAGCGACTCATCAGACTGAAAAAAATAGTCCTGAAAGCGAGCTGTGAGCCTCTACTCTGAATTATCTGGTGAATTAATTATGAATTAATTATCTGATGAACGTGACACGTTCTGGCTGTCTGTAAATAAAGCAAAGCCACTTCCTCGTCCGACATTAAACAGCCCCACAGAGGAGGGAGGGGCGGGGCGGCTGTCGCCGTGCAGCGCAGCTGTCCTGCGTCTGACCTCAAAGTGCACAAGCTTCAAACTTCAGCGTTGGCTGCGATTTTGACGCTGAAATCGCGTTCGGTGTGAACGCACCATTATTGTGTGGAAATTTGGGGTAACACATGCAAAATGTTCTTTTGAGTTATTTGGTCGATGTTGGTGGTATTTAGAGATTAAGTGAAACATTTAATAAGCTGTTATTGTTAATTTCTGCTGTAAATAAGATAGCTGTGTATGTAAAATCAGAACGTTAACAATAAAAATCAAGACTATATTAATTTCTTTGAAGCGTAAGAAAGGGGTAGGAAAATATGTTTTTACTTCAACCTACTCCTTTTCAAAACAGATGGTCTCGAAAGTTGCCCAGTACATATATTTGTGTATGTGTATATAGATACATACACATTTTTTGTTTGTTTTATGTCTGTTTTGAAATAAAGATTTGTTTTTTACTTTTTTTTTTTGAACTTTTGAAATTGTCAGATTTTATTTTCCTTGTCCTGCATTCAAAATTTCTTATTTGGGACCTGAAAGAACACAGAAGATAAAGAAGGCGGCAGATGTCTTAAATAGTTAGTACCACAATATTCAATCTGATTGAACTGTACAATACATGAAAATGGATGTATTTTTCCTTTAATTACAGAACTACATTAATGTCTTGTTGGGTCAGACCTTATACTGAAAATGCAGGCCGTCATTGCTGGCTGCTTCTTACCTGGTCGTTTGACTCTTTTATTACCAAAAGCAGGAGTAAGGAGAGCTTTGATCTGTGTTTGGGAGAATGTACAACGCTGGTCTTCACCCTTTTTGTCTTCCAGACGTTTTGTCTCTGAGTCATGGCAGACAGGAGAGCGGAGAAGTCATGTGAAGAAGCCAGCAAATCGTTAGCCAGGCGGGAGTACGAGGCGGCAGTCACCCACAGCACAGATGCCCTGGTGGTTCTTGCGCCCAGAACCTCATCCTCAGGTGGCCATGTCCTGTCGAGCCCTCCAACGGTTGTGCCAGTCGCCCCCCTCCGCAGCCGTGCCCTGCTTTACCGAATTGCTGCCTTCCTACAGCTGGTGAGCACCGTGTCGATTTTCAAGTATTGGGATTTATGAGTGTTTTTTTGTTGACATTTTTTTCCTGGAGATTTCAAAAACGGTATTGGAAAATTAGTTAAAAAATGTATTAAATAAACAAAGGTTTATAATTATGAGGTGCAATACTCATAACCAATATTGTAAAAAATCTGCCAAAACATTGGCAAGGTCTTTTATTTTAACCCACTTTATCTTTGCCATTAAAGAAAACGTGCATTTTTTAAGATGCCCTATTTCTTGCATCTCATTGATGGATTCAGTTTTAAAAGTTACACTAGTTTCTGTGTCATTGAGCTCATATAAACTGTTTAATAAAATTGCAACATAGTCAAACATTAATAGTGTTTACTGCATTTTTTTCTTCTTTCACTTATAGAAAAACTATGATGAAGCAAATGAAGACTGCAAAAATGGTGAGTAATAAATCAGACTATCAAATTATTTAAATATTTCATGCAGTAATGCCCTTAATTGTTTCACTGTGGATATCAAGCCCATGTGTTTATAATGCTATGCAGTTTATTGCAATTCATTTTTTCTACTGTCATTTGTTGATGAGCAACATGGTGGCCAGCAGATAAAAACATGCATCAGCTGTTGTTTCCAACCTGCTCACTTGCAATAAGTTTTGCTGGAAGTGTGAGATTTTACCAGGGTGGTTGAGTAAAAAACATCCCCAACAATTCTTAAAATAAAATTTTCATTTTTTTCTCTTATGCCATCTTTTCAGAACATGTTAAAGTTTTAGAATTGAAGTAAATTTGTGAAAATGGCTTTAATGTTGATTCAATGGCTTAAAAATAGATATTCATACAGAAGCCTGCTGTGGCCCACTGTGCTGGACAGGATGTTCTACAACTTTACATTTTGTTTTTCTAGGGAGCGGACTTAAATGTTTATTACACATCTTATGAGAAACCTAACTGGTTAATTGTTTTCCCACCTGTTCAAACTGTAATTTTCATCCTGCTGCAGTTCTGGCAGAAGAAATTGCTCGGGGGGATGGTTCTCTACGGGCCAGCTTACGTTCAATGTTGCTGGACGGCAGCCTGGAGGAGGTGGCAATCATTCTATCTAAAGCCTTGTATGGAGAGCCAATGGTATGATTAATGTGCATTCAATACACTATATGCATACATGTAGGTTACACACCAAAAATAATTAAATGTTAAGACAGAAATTTTATAGGCGTTGACAGCAGAATTTTATTCTCAGCTCTGTTTTTACTTTGTATGTTTCTCTGTATTTTATTATCGGAGAATGCATGTGTTTTTGCCTTTTAATATACAGATTTATCCACCTTAATAGATGGCTACTTTTAAAAGAAAAGTTTGTCAGTTTTATACAGATTGTTCAAACAGAAAAGGAATTTACTATATGAGAAAAATAGTACAAAACATCTAATACAGGATGAGTCAAGATGATACAGATGACTGTTTGCTTCCAATGGGAAAACTTGGTTAAACTTGATTACACCAAGCAGACATTTAAAACTTGCTGACAAAATATTGCATTGCCTTACACAATCAGAAAAAAAGGTTTTAGAAATAGTTTTGATAATAAAGGGATGAGAAATACATCTGTCACAGAAAAAGCCTTCCAGATCACCACTGACTAAAGTAGCATTTTCAAAAAACATCACTTAGATTTACCATGTGGTTAATGGAAGGGCCCTACAGAGGTGACAAATTGAAACATTAATACATAAATATGCCAAAAATGTATATCTATGCACATAGGTTGCACATCATGGCACTGAGATAAGATCTTTTAATAAGCAGGTATTTGCAACACATTTTCTAATTGTGAAGAATCAAGAGTTAATGACTGATTGAAAGTATTTATTGCTGTTAAGTCTTATTGAAGACCCTTTCTCTCTTCTGTCACAGAATGGCATCGTTACAAAGGACCTGACCAGATTAAAAATGCTTTTCTCCGAAATAGAGGTAAATCCTTATTCTCCAGTGTTATGGTTTTACAGCATCCTTGTGTTACTTGTCTTCCTGCTTTAGCTTTTAAGTAAAATTTTGCCATTAGATGTAATCATGCTTGCATGTAAGAAACCTGGCTGTATTTCATTGCTAGATTTCAACACTAAATAAAATATTTTATACTTGTGTTTTATGTGTTTCCACCTCCTCTAACACCCAACTCTTTCATCCCAAATCAGGCTGTAAAAAGGGAGATGGCTCCAGAATACACAGATGACCAGGACGAAGGTAAGCAAATCTGTACAATCGGCCGGTTTTAACGTTTCTTTAAATGTGTATATTTTATGTACATTTAAATGGCCTTTTTGTTTACACTAATCTGGCATCTTCAAGTTGAAGCCAACTTGTTTTGAAAGTTTTTAGCTCACTTTTGTTTTGATCACTTGGCTTGTGTATTGACAGAAGTCCAGGACGGCTGGCAGTTCCGGCCCCCTCCCCGAGGAGTCACCAGCAGTGAGGAGTACACGCTCTGTAAAAGGTATTTTACACCGTCTTTAGTTCAGAAGGGAATATGTCTAATTTTATTTTCTTTAAACAGATATTGGAAAATGGGTAACAAATCACATTCACCGTTCCAAACTGAGTCTTTAATTTTAGTGTGATTAATAAAACGAATCTTTTAGGACAGTGGTTTTCAACCCGGGTCCACGTGACCCACTGTTCTGCATGTTTCAGCTGTTTCCCTGCATTGTCTCACCTGATGCAAACAATTACATTACCTACTCACAATGTGATCAAGTTTAGGAGAAGCCTGTCAATTAGTGCTGGGCGGTATGACCCAGATTTTATATCACAGTATTTTCAACAATTACACCAGTACCACAGTATTTGTTGGTATTTTTCTTTTCATCACAGCTCAGCTGATAATAAAATATACAAACGTTGCTCATTGATTAGCAAACCGTCAGCTGAAGTTACACTCTTTCTGCAACGCAGAAACTATTTATTGAAATTTTTCTTTTACTGTGCTTCTGTCTGTGTCTCCCTATATGTCTTTTCTTTCTTTGCCTGGTTGTAGACACTAGCCACGTATTTTGGTATGGTTGATAAAGGTTCATTATCGGGTCTATTATTTTATGTTATTTAATAAAGCTTAACAGGACGATTCTGCCTGGTGCACTGCAGTCAAATAAACACCAGTACAAAACTACTTCCCTTGGGATTTTCACAATAGAAGCACATTAACATCTCCATATTAACGTCATGCGTTAAATCTGACTATGCACGTCACTGAAGAGTTGTTTACTAAACAAAGTTGTTTACTTTACATTCAGTGATGGCGAAAATGGGATTTTTTTAAAAAAAAACATCTGTTAATATAAGCAGCAAACTCTCCACCCGCCGCCAGTTCCTCCAGCAAGCTGCTCCAACAATAACATCAGCTTCCTAATGCGCATAGCGGTGCTGCAAGGAAAACTGTCCTCCGAGAAACCGTTCACTGACGCGCGCGACGAAACGTTCCAAACGTATTAAGGCTATGTAAACCGGTATGTCGGGTATTCAGAAAATTATTTATTAATTTATTCATTTAATTTAAAAACAAACAAATTCACATACAAAAAAATACATATCAAATAAAAAATGAAATGTAGCAGAAAGAAGAAAAAAATCTTATTATATCTGCCCCTAATAAATAAATAAATAAATATATATATATAGTTTAAAAAATAATGTTCAAACAATAACAAAACAAAAACTTCAGCTCCTAAACAGCAGCTCTTATAAATACAAATTATAGAATTTCATATTTCTTTAACAAAGTTTTATTCTTATCATTATTTTAAACAAATTAATTGAGCCAGCATTTTTACAATCACTATCCAGAGTATACCATAATCGTATTCCTTGGACTGAAGTACATCTGTCCTTTAAATTTATTCYAATTTTAGGTTTTACAAACATTTCTAATCCCTTCAGATTGTAACCACTTTCCCTCTTAACAAAATGTGATTGGATGTTCAAAGGTAATACATTTTTATGTGCCTTATAATAACCTGCAAAATATTATAATCAACTAACTCGTAAAACTTAAATAATTTCAACTGATAAAATAATGTATTTGATGGGTGACTGTAGTGTTTTCTAGTGATGATTTGTAGCTCTCTTCTGCAAAATAAAAATAGGATTTGTAATTGTTTTACATGCTTTCCCCCAGACTTCAATACAATATATTAAGTGTGGAACAATTATTGCGTTATATAGAATAAACAGTGCTTTATCATTAAACAACTCCTTTACTTTGTACAAAACTGCAATGAGTTTGGCAATTTTTGTTCTTAAGTAATTTATGTGAGATTTCCATGTCAGCTTTTCATCAATGATGACACCCAAAAACTTCACCACATTCACACAAATTCACATCATAACAAAAATAAACTGTTTGCTGTACTAACCGGTATACTGCCCACCACTACTCTCAATCACTCATTCTTTTCTGTCAGATGTTTTGAAGCAGGGAAACCTGTAAAACATGCAGGACAGTGGGTCATGAGGACCAGGGGTGAAGACCTCTCTTGTAGGAGATCATGTTCTGTAATGTATTACATTATAGGATGTTTTCAAGATTTGCTGAAACGGTTTGGTTATCCCTGCACAGATGGACCCCTAGTAGACTAAAACTGTGTCAATGAAAGATAAAGGTTATTTTTCCAGCATTAATTTGTATCAACTTTTAAATTCCATTAAATTATTCAGATATGCCACAGCATCTACTCACGGGTTCAGCATTCAGTCTCTCTGTGAACGCCACACAGACACACACTCGCTGGTCGTGAATATGGTTATGAATGACTCGTCTGAGTCACCAGTTAACACATCTCTGAAGTTTGACACATTTAGTTGACACTTTTTGAACTCTCTTAAATACATTCATCTCCTTTAATAAGGAGTGTTCATGCTCTGCTGCCCTACCAAAGAAAGAACTGTCTTGCACCATTGAATGAGTCTACAATGAACTGAATTTACTTACACACTCAGCTTCTTCAGTCACAATCACAGTCACACAATAAAGTTTTGCTTCTTTAATATGACAAAATTTGACAATATTTGCAGTCATCACACTTGTTTACCAGAGTTTTTGATTCTGCTTACTTTGGTCTGTATACAGATGGAAACCAAATTCGTATTTCTTACTACACTTAATCATTTTTGTGACCAATAATGTCTTGTGCGCCCAATTTCAAATCCAATATTTTTTTCCCTTTTTTTTCATTTTGGAACAAAATTGTATTTTAGTTATTATAACCACCTGAGCCAATATTATCTGTTTATGCACAACACAGAAGAGGAAATCCTAAATTGTGTCAAATCACCTGCATTTGTTTTGTCTTCTACTTTTTGTCTTTATTTTGTTGTGTTCTTGTATAACCCTGGGGCAACGTTTGTGGAAAAAACAAAACTTGCTGTATAAAAGATTTAGGTATCTTGCTATAGTACCACCTTAGCATGCTGTTAAATTTTCTCACAGGTTCTTGGAGCAGGGTTTGTGTCGATATGGGGCCCAGTGTACGTCGGCTCACTCGCAGGAGGAGTTGATGGAGTGGCAGAAACGTTACGCCTCGCGACTCATTCGCCTCAAACAGCAGCAGGAGAGCAAACACTTTACTGAAAACTACATGGAAACCCTAATAGAAAAGTGGATGAACTCTCTTTCCCCTGAGAAAGTGGTGAGTGTTTTTGTGACGCATGCAAGTTCAGATGGATCTCTGTTGAAAACCTTCAAAACCCTTTGCTCAAATAAAAAAAAAATTTTCTTAACTTATAAATTCAGATTTTCAAAGTTAATTATACAATAGTTTGCCAAGCATTAGTATTTATTTAAAGATGACAAATTAATAATAAAAAACAAGCATGTGCATGTGGAAAGTACAGAATGATAACTGAGACCAGTCTAAATAAATTACACTAGTTAGTTGAATAAATGTATATTTGTATACGTCATACACTACAAGCAAAATTAAACCCAACATACAAATAGAATAGATCTGGTTTGCAGATTAAATGTGTTAGCATAAAGAAAGCATCATAAATACTCATCTGTCATAAGCATTGCTCTGTGGTAGTTTAAGGCCCTGTCACACTATGACACTTTAGACAACTTATGAAAAGTTTGGACACATCTACATTGACGCTTCTTTTAGGCATGTACTGTAATTAAAACAAACTGATCAAATATTTACCTTTTATTTGTCATTTAGTGAAAAAAAATTTTCATAAGTTGGCATAAATTGTCTAAAATGTTAGTGTGACGGGGCCTTTAGAAATAAAAACATTTTATTTTTTTGATAGATTCTAGTATTTATAAAATATTACTCCTCAAAACATAATCTCATAATTCTGCAGTTCTAACAAAAGTTATCTTTTCTTATGTTTTCAGAAGTAATTTTTATTCTGCTGTTGTTGCAGTGATACTACATCAGCTCCATCAAAAATTAGTTTTCCTCTGTGAACGCTGCCATTTTAACAACACAAATTAATAGAGTACAAGAAAAGTACATTTTATGCGTTTTATATATTTTATACATTTGTAAACAATGGTAACATTAACAGCTGCTTCCTATCTACGTTGTTTGAATTTCATATTCTCTGTGAAAGACATATAGTGTTTATGTATTTTCAAACTATGCTTCTTATATTTGATTCTTCTATTTGGCTAGATTCACTAAAACTATGTTTGACTAAGCATGCATGTGTGCGTTTCTTTTTTTCCAGCTAAGTGACAGTTTAGAGGGCGTGGCTGTAGAGACCAGCTCCAGCCTTTCTGTTACCGTCAACACCAAAAAATCCTCGCACTCCTGGATCTTTTCTTTGTTGTGCAAGGTAGGACCAAGTGTTTTGTGTTTTTTTCTGAATGGATCCTTTTATGTGTGTGGAAAGGGTGATTTGAATATGTTCTTGGTTCCGTTTCCCACCTATTGTGTTTTCAGTGATCTTATCCTCATATTTTTTTCTTGCTCCAGCCGGCTAGAAAGCTGTTCCGCATTGCTCTGCTGTACGATGCCCATCGACCACACTTCTTCATCACAGGCGTGTCAGCTGGGGATCGCCTCCATCCTGTTCCCAATGGGTGCCAAGAATGGACACCAGGGGAGGAAACTGGTTTGTATATTCTTCTGTCAAGACCAAGGAGAATTGTACTGCTACTTCTTTAACAGTCAAAGATATTTGAAATTGTGAACTAGGGAGTTACCAGACTGTCTGTGGCAATAACTGGCAGCATCATATGATAATACGAGATGTTCTAAAGGTTCTTAGCTGGATTCAGTCTTCAGCAACATAGAAGACAATAACTCTTTGCACAAACCACCTCTCTGGTCTGTAGGTCTTTGAATCAGCAACAGAATGCTTTTAAAACTGTGCTGGTAGACAGTAAACATTACAGTTAGAACATATTGATGTTAGCATGGAGAAGCTGCAGTTCTTGTTCATCTTGAATATGTTGTGTGTAACACATTCATGCTAAAAGTAGACTGTGGCATTATCAAAATCAGAGAAATGTCAAATGGGGAGAAGAAAGCAAAATAGAATGGTCTGTGGCCACCACCTTAAACATTTGTTATTATTGAGGACTTACTGCACAATGATTTGCATGTTCTAACTGGACAGGTAATTATTGACGTAGTTATACTGTGATGATTTTTTTTAAAACGTTGGCCAAGGTGTACTCATTGTATTCATTATAACTGTTAAAATTATTGCAAATTTTATTTGCATGAATAGTTTAAACATTCAGCAATTTGTGAGTCTGTATCACCAATCCGAACATGAGTTTTAGACGTGTGTTTTTGTGTATTACCGGTAAGTAAAATTGTCAGACCGTCTGGACTAAAAAGGGTTTTCATATTTTTTCGTGGTTTTAGATTCATTGAACTTCTAGTTCTTTTATGATGGTAACAGTAGCTGTGTTTCCATTGACCATGAAAATGCGCAAATTAGAATTTTGAAAATAAATTTGCTCAATGGAAACACGTCAGTTTCGAAAAAACGGCGTTTTTTTCGACAAAATGTTTTTGCGCTAGGATCAGGTCGTTTTTCGGCCGTATCGAAATTGGTGTGTTTTGCAAACTGCAATGGAAACACTTTTTTCGCATCACAGGAGTCACGTGATCAACAACCGGCTGTTTCTACTGGTGAAAAAGATAACAAAGAAGAAGACAACAGGAAGTAAAAGTAGTAGTGAAATCACCAACGTTGTAAAAGAAAGTAGTAAACTCACCAACTACAATTTCCCAAAAACACAGCATACGTAGCCACTCCCAAGTAAAAGGGGCTTGTCGCTCGAAAGCCTTGATAAGACACCGACGTCTCCTCTGATGATGAGCGCTAGTGTCATGGTAGCAATATGCATGTGTTTACATCCATTGCCATGCTTGTAATGACTTATTGCGAGAGCAAACGTATTCATGCATGACTTTATTAGCATTTCTTACTTAATGGAAACACTGCAATTGCGAAACTTTTTTTCAACATTATCAGAATATCGACAAATTTTTGCGCACATTTGTAATGGAAACACAGCTAGTAACATGTTTGATAATGTAAGTTACTGTTTTGGCAGTGGCAACAGACAATGGTCTTGATCACTGCGTCTACAAAATAGCAGTGGGCTTCAGCACAGAGATCTTTGGTACCTTCAGACAGACCATCGTTTTTGACTTCGGCTCAGAGCCTGTGCTGATGCAGCGGATCATGGTGGATGCTGCCTCCATTGAAGGTACGATAAAAGCAGTTCATTTATCTAGAGATGTTGATAATGAGTGCAGAAAATAAAAATGATAAAAAAAGTACAATATGCTAATGCTTTGCCACATTCTCATGTCTGTGTTTTCCAGACCTGGAACACTTATTGGCAGCTAGGCAGCAGCTCTTGATGACTGCAAAGCGCTGGGACTCGTCATGTAAAACCATTGTAGAATTCAGCCCCAATGAGACTATGGCTGATCTGGAGCGTAGCCTCCTGTCCCGCTACCAGATCCCTCTGTCAGCTGATCAGCTCTTCACCCAGTCCGTCCTGGACAAGACTCTGACCAAAGACAACTACCAGGCACGACTGCATGACCTGCTCTACATAGAGGAGATTGCTCAGTATAAGGAAGTCAGCAAGTGAGTAGATTTCTTTTCACCAGAGATTTTCAGATTCAACGTTTACCCAGTAAATTTATATTCTGCAATTATATGATTAAAAACTGATGATTTACGAGGAAAAATGCAAAAAGGTTGACCAATTATGTCTTTTTTATCTGTTAATGTTTTATGTTACATTAATCCAATTATTTGTATTTTAGTTTTTATTTCATTCAAACTTGGTAAATAAATCTTCAGTTTTTATGGGAACATTATAGCTTCCTGCTGCCTATAACCACAGTTCTGTGATCTAGAGCCATTTCCATTCAGTTCCAGCATATTTGGTGACAGCAATTAATGACAATAGTTTGATGGTTTTGTGATTACTTTCTGCTGTTCAGAAGGCGTCCTTGGTTCTTGATCCTGTGTGTTCAGCAAAAATGAGTATTGTCTGATATTTACTGGTTTTAGTGTAAAAACATCAACCCACCACAAGGTGTCAGACTTAACCTTCTACAGTTAGCAGTTATGTATTTCTCAGATCCATTAAGTAATTTTTAAATAAGAGGGAACTATTTTTCTTTTAGAGCTGTGTTTTGTTTCCCCAGCTGCTCCTTCACTGGGTACTCTTTATAGTTTTGTTCGCAGTAACTGCTCTTACCATCAGTTCCTTAATTACTGTAAATTCTCCTTCAGTGCCTTATTGTCTCCTACATTACTCTTGTGTCTGAACTCAGGACCTGAAAAGTGAATTATTTTTATCCCTTATTGCCATTGTTCACATGGATGATCTCCACTTCACAATGCTTTTAATTGCTGATTGAGTTTCAGAAGACTTTCTGTAAAATGTGAATTTCTTTGACTCTGCATGTTGCCAGGAGTTATTAAGAGCTTTTTAAAGTCTTTATATTCTTTCAATACCTTTTTAAATACAATTCAATGTCAAGTAGTCTGATAACTTTAGCTTGTGTTTATACTATTCTTCAAAAGAATATGGCTTCTCTAGTTGTAGTCAAGAGGTCCAAAGACATCAGCAGATTCTCTAAAGTGAGTATGGAGTGAGTTATGTAAAGCCAAGAGACTTCGCTGGTTAGCTTTTCATCAAGTTTCTCTTACAGACTCTTGACAGAGCTGATGCAAAACAAATTTAAAAACCCTAATGGTTGCTTTGGTTGTGTAACGCAAGTTGTTTCCATAGAAAAACAGAATATATTCCTTCCTCTGGTAATGCCAATCATCCTTCAAAGATTTTGAGGAGTATTTCCAACTGTTTCATCATTTTTAATACTGCAGAGAGCAGAGAATAGTTCTTAAGTAATTTTGAATGAATTGATATATATTTTCCTCAAAACTGCTTACGTTTTCCACCACAGATGTTTAAGCTATGTTTTGATTTCCACAAAGACCATCTTAAGTGATTGTTTTATATATATA